GCTTTAGTGAAATTGTACTTTACGAAAAGGACCATTAGGGGTTGGAGTGGTAAGAGGGTCTCCGATGTGTTTCAATCAGTTGCTTCTTCTCAGCCTGAGAGTACAGCCATCTTATTTGAGGAACAGAAATGGACTTACCGTGATCTTGATAACTATTCTAATCAAGTAGCTAATCTCTTTCAAGATGCTGGAGTCAAGCCCAATGAAACAGTTGTTATGGTAATGCAGAATTCTCCTCAGTTTATTGGTGTGTCACTGGGTCTTAGTAAGATTGGGGCTACTGGTTCTTTCATTAATTTCAATCTCCGTGGTAACGCTCTAGTCCACTGTATAAAGATATGTAGTCCAGTTGCTGTTATATTTGATGCTGCCTTCAGTGATGCCATTAATGATATTCGGGATCAGATTGATGCTAGACTTCAAGATCTTTGTTTTTCAATCAATGGAGATGATTCTAATAAGATATCTCGTTCCTTTGACACTGAGGTCCGTAAGATGCCCACTGACCCGCCCCCTTCTCTTAAAGAGCCTTCCTCCAATAGTAAATGCTGTGACTGTTTTCAGTATCAATTTTGAGGTCCTTTAGGTAAATTCTGTTTCATATACACGTCTGGCACCACTGGACTACCTAAAGCTGTTCCAATAAGACACCAGAGGTAAATGTTTCTTATATTTTGGCACTAAATTTACATGTGTGCATGGATAGTTTGGCTGTCATTCATTAATTGCGATACTATTTTGGTTTGATTGCATGTACTTGCTCATGCATTATATATTCCGGCATTCTTGTAGCATTGAAAAGATTTAAAAGCAACTTAATTGTATTTACATATCCTCTTCATAAATTGCAACATAGTTTGTTATAATAAATAATGTTATTGATGTATATTTTATTAGGTACCAAACTATAATCACTGGTATAAGGTATGGTTCTGGTATGGTTAAAAATGATGTCATTTATTGTACTCTGCCACTGTACCATACCAGTGGTGGGATAATGGTTGCTGGACAGATGATATTGTTTGGTAGTACATTAGCCCTTAGACGCAAGTTCTCTGCTAGTAACTTCTGGAATGACTGCATCAAGTATAAATGCACTGTAAGAACTGGTAGCAAGGGCATCAATATAAATCGTGAATGATTGAAATTTTATTCTACTTTTATCACTAGGTTATTCAGTACATTGGTGAATTCTGTCGTTATCTTTTAGTACAACCTCCAAAACTAACTGACAAGCAGCACCTGGTCCGAATGGCAGTTGGTAATGGGCTCCGCCCTCATATATGGCAAGAATTCAAAGATCGTTTTAACATTCAAATTATTGCTGAGTTTTATGGATCCACTGAAGGGAATGCTAACATGCTAAATATGGAGGGTGTGGTAGGATCCTGTGGATTCAAATCCCTTTTAGTACCATCTGCTCTGCCAACATATCTGATAGAGGTTGATCCAGAGACGGAAGAGTTAGTTAAGGACTCAAATGGTTTCTGTGTGATGGCTGAAGTTGGTGAAAAAGGTGAACTAATTTGTGGTATTCAAAATAAAAATATGTTCCGTCGTTTTGACGGCTATGAGAACAAGGAGGCGACTAATAAGAAGATACTGACCGGTGTGTTCTCTCATGGTGACAGGTTCTTCAGGACGGGGGACATGATGATCATGGACACTTGGGGTAACTTTTATTTTGCCGATAGAACTGGTGACACTTTTCGCTGGAAAGGAGAGAATGTGTCTACATCAGAAGTTGAGACGCTAATGGCTAAAGCAGTGAAGAAAGAAATACACATTGCTGTCTTTGGAGTTGATGTTGCTAATTCAGAGGGTAAGGCTGGTATGGGTGTAGTTGAAGGAGATCCTGAGGCCATTGATGTTACTGGAGGTCTGGCAGGTGGTCTTTACGAGGTGCTTCCCTCATATGCTGTCCCGTTGTTCTTACGTTTTGTGAAAGAGATTGAAATGACTGGAACACATAAATACAAGAAGACCTCTTATCGTAAAGAAGGATACGACCCGAGTATTGTTAGTGACCCGCTGTTTGTGTTGGATGTTAGTAAAAAGGTTTATGTGCCTCTTACCCAAGAGATACTGGAGGCCATTAAAGATGGAAAATGGCAGGTTTAGGATTGAAGAGTGTGTCTTTGATTTAAACTGATTAAATTATACAATAACAATATTTTGATTTTTGTGTGTAGTCATAGTGTCAATTTTTACTTAAAATTTGATAATTTTCACCTTAAAATTTAATGGGTTTAACTTAAAGCAGAATAACAATAATTTATATTAATCAAAAAAATAATTATAATCAATAAAAACTATAACCCTCACAGTTCACACATAGATTGCTCCACATAACAACAACAACAACAATAATAATAATAATAGAAAATTAATAATAATAATAATCATACAGTGCTTTACTATACAGCTAGTCATTTCGTGCAAACTTGACTACAGAGTCTTTTACATTCTCAAGACTCTTGCCCCATTTTTGAAGGACAGCTCCGGCCCCCCTACTGGGGGGTCTCTCTGCCCCCTCAGAAATTGAAGCACTGGAACTGGTATCATTAGTAGAACTGCTGGAACTAAAGGCCCTGGCTATCCCTTGCTTCTTTCGTTCAATACCACTTCCTTTACTGTCTCCGTTACTTCTTGATGAAGTACGTGGGGACCTACCCCCAGCCCCACTGCTGCTGATAAAAGGAGGGAGAGGGGGAGACACAGGTTTATCATCTTTCCTGGCAACCGAGGGAGAGGATTTTGACTTGATTGGAGCAGCTGCATCAGGGACAGCTAGTCCTTGGTCTAATAATAATAACAACAACAACAACAATAATAATAATGATAATAATGATAATAACAACTACTCGAGCTATTTAAAATTACCCAGTTCATGTGGGGTGCTCATTACAGCTGCAATTGCTTCTTTTGATTTCGCCAAAGAAGCTGATCTGCTCTGATCCCCTACAGTACAATTAGAGTTATTGTCACCTGACTATCATGTGACTTACGTCTAGACCTGATGGCTCCTTTATTCTCTTCAGATGTGTACTTCATTGAAATGTACTTGTCCTGAATGAACTTTGTACGAGTTTGATCATTTTTTAGTGAACCTTCAACAAATATTATAATAAAAATTTGGGGTGATTTCAGGGCCATTTTTTGGGAAAAAACCATGGACTATAGCCTTGGGTATTTTTCAGATTTTGGCTCATTTTTTAAAATGGCCATAACTTGAAAAATTGAAGCCGGAATCGACTCAAACTTTCTACACAGCATAAGGACATCAATATGTATCAGAAAATGTAATAAAAATTTGAGGTGATTTCGGAGCCATTTTTTGAAAAAAACCATGGGCTATAGCCTTGGGTATTTTTCAGATTTTGGCTCATTTTTTTAAAAGGGCAGTAACTCAAAAAATTGAAGTCGGAATTAGCTCAAACTTGCTACACAGCATAAGGACATCAATATGTATCAGAAAATGTAATAAAAATTGGGGGTGATTTCGGAGCCATTTTTTGGAAAAAACCATGGACTATAGCCTTGGGTATTTTTCAGATTTTGGCTCATTTTTTAAAATGGCCGTAGCTTGAAAAATTGAAGTCGGAATCGACTCAAACTTTCTACACAGCATAAGTACATCAATATGTATCAGAAAATGTAATAAAAATTGGGGGTGATTTCGGAGCCATTTTTTGCAAAAAACCATGACTATATAGTCCCCATTTTTATTCTCACTTCGGTTAAATCCTGCTGGTAGCAGTTCCTCATATATATTGTTTGACCTCTTGTTCCCGATATCTCGTAACTTCTCCTCCCATTCCGGCTTCATAGTGTCTAAAGTGAGGGACCGAACCTATTGAAAATATTTATTATTATTATTATTATTATTATTATTATTACCTGTGATACATGTACTCCTAAGCTCCTGTGTACTCCAGAGCAGTCAATGCATATCAGTACTCCTAAATTGACACTAAAGGATTGAGAGATTATTATTATTAATGAAGACTAAGTACAGTCCAGTGAGTCCACTTTTATTGTAGCAACACTGCCATTGGATTTTAGAGCAACTTTAAAAATTCATAAAAAAACAAATTTCGATTGTAATGAGCTCAAACTTTCTATGCAGCATAAGTACATGTATATGCATCAGGAAATGTAATAAAAATGGAGAATTCTCTCGTCTACAATACAATACATGAATGGATTACCTGGCCCATTTCGGTTTAGCAGCTTCACAATCAGCACACACTTCATTACCATCAATTTGACTGCAACCGTCTCATAACTGAAGCACCAGAACGAGGCCTAGACACGTACATATAAATACATTAGATCAGTTTAAAAATTAAATATTTAAATCAGTTTAAAATCAAATATTTAAATC